TGACCCCAGAATTCGAGGTGCAGCCTCCCCAGTGCCCAGTCCAGGGGGACGATCCCTGCCCTAGTGTCCTCCAGTCCATACCCTTGTCGAGATGGGGTGAAAACGATGAGGTAATGGTGTGGGTCCACCTTGACTCTCCTCTGGTTACCTCTTTGGTCCCATGGTGCTCCATGCAGCACCCTGTCAGCGCCAGCCGGAGAGGTTCAGCACACTGGATGAAGCACTGCAGGTCCTCATACTGGATAGCGTGGCTCAGCTTTGAGGGGTGGAAGGTGACAACGAAGGGGACCTCCATCCCTGGGCAGATGTAACCCTTTGTGGGGCTGATGGAGAAATCTGGCTTGAAGCTCTCACTGTCCCACTTAAACCTGGCCGAGGAAAGCACAAGAACAGGAAGGAAGGATCAGCAACTGGAGGCTGTGGAGGCAATGTGCTGGTTCTAAGCCTGTTGTGGGCTTCTCCACAGCATCTCAGGCATGGTGCTGAGCTACTTGGCACCAAGGCTTCAGGCTGGGCAGGACTCAACTGCAGCACCCATCCGTAAGCAAGCCTTTGGGTGTATCCCTTGCTAACCTCCAGGGCCTGATGGGACAGCCTTGGCCAAACAACTCCCCGCTGGGATGAAAAAACAGAGAGGAACTATCTAGGCAAGCTCCAGCTCCATCCCACCCAAACTGCAAGCCCTCACAGAGGACGGCGTTCTGCATTACTTGACTCCTATGTCGCCCGTGTTCTGCAGGACGACACGCTGGGATGTGGAGCTCTGCTGCACCACTGCTCCGAAGCTGAGGTGCTCCTGGTCCAAGCTCAGAGAGATGCCCTGGCAGGATCCCACCACCATGAAGAGGGAGCACACCAGCCCGTTGCACTCCAGCATCACTTCTGCTGTGAAGGGCTGGATGCGGCACATCGGGGAGAAGGTCACTGCCACTTTACAGCTGTCTCCTTTGGCCTTCAGGCTTAGTTCCTTGGCGGGGCTCAAGCAGAGAACCTGCCCAAAGGAATGAGTGGAGGTGAGATTGATTCATCTGGCAACCAAGCTGTGAATCCTCCTTTCAGCTCCTGTTCTGACCCCACCAACATCGTCCCACTTACTGGTATGCAGCCCTAGGTACAAAAGGTATTTTCCAGTCAGGTGTCCACCTGGCCATGGTGAGCTGGACAACATCGTCCAAAGAAATGTCACATGGGCTCCAAGAGAGCTGTAACTCTTGGTCTTTAAAGATCCATTTATCTCCCTTATCTTCCCGTATCTCACATAAACGGCCACATCCTGAAGTACATGTCTATAGCAGGTGAGGGGACTGTACTTTCTCCTCACTCCTGGTTGCACTGCCAGGTCCTCACTACCCCTGTCCCTCAGCACCACATCTCCACGGCTTGGAAACCCCTCCAGGGATGGGGACTCCACCCCTGCCCTGGGCAGCCTGGCACAGCCCTGGACAAACCTTCTAGAGAAGATTTTTTTCCTCATGTCCAACCTAAACCTCCCCTGCTGCAGCTTGAGGCCATTTCCCCTTGTCTTGTCCCATTTCCTCTTGTTGTATCAAGATGAGGCCTTCACGTTGCAAGTACCCCCTGGCAGAGCAGTCCCAGCAGGGAGGACAGGACACCATACAACTCCAATTAGCTAGTAGCTCCCACCCAGAGTAGCCCATAACTACCTGCAGGCACACCAAAGTGCTCTCCAGTGCAGGAAGGGGCCTTACCCCATCTTCTTGCAGCTCTGGAGTGGTGGACATGAGACTGAGCTTAAAAGTGAGGGGGGCAGCACTGTTGTTTGCTATGGTGACAATCTTCTTCACTGTCTGTCCGATGGAGAGGGCTCCCAGCTTCACCACCTTTCCTCGGGGTTCCACAACGTCAACCTGAGGCGTGAATCATAGAATCAGTAAGGCTGGAAAAGACCTCTAAGATCATCAAGTCCAACCATCACCCAACACTATGGTGACCATTAAACCACATCCCCAAGTGCCACATCTATGTTTTTTGAACCCCTCCAGGGATGGTGACTCCAGCACCTTACTGGGCAGCCTGGGCCAAGGCCTCACCACTCTGGCAGGAAAGGAATTATTCCCAATATCCAACAGAAACCTCCCCTGGTGCAACTTGAGGCCATTTCCTCTTGGCCTGTCACTGGTTACTTGGGAGAAGAGACCAACCCCCACCTGGCTCCAAACTCCTGTCAGGGAGCTGTGCAGAGCCATAAGGTCTCCCCTGAGTCTCCTTTGCTCCAGGCTCAGCACTCCCAGGTTCCTCAGCTGCTTCTCACGACATGTTCCCTAGACCCCTCACCGTCTTCGTTGCCCTTCTGTGGACCCTTTCCAGCCCCTCAAGGTCCTTCTTCTCCTGTGGTGCCCAAAACTGACCCTGTTGCTCAAGCTGTGGCCTCCCCAGTGCCAAGTTCACGGGCAAAATCACTTCCCTACTCCTGCTGGACACACTGTTTTTGATCCAGCCACAATGCTGGTGGCCTTCTGTGCTCCTGGGCACACGCTGGCTCAACTCCAGCTGTCCATGAACACCTCCAGGTCCTTTTCTGCCAGGCAGTTTCCAGCCACTCTGCTCCAAGCCTGGAGCATTGCAGGGGGTTGTTGTGACCCAAGTGCAGGACCCAGCCCTTGGCCTTGTTAGAATGAAGGATTAAGATAAAGTGAAAGGAAAGAAGGAGAAAAGCTTTTCTGCTGCTCTTGGGGCAGAACACTAAAACATAGTAGGCTGGGGAAGGGAGAAAGAAGGTGAGAGAGAAGAGCCAAGCTGGCTGCCCACCTTCTGGGGTTTGAGGATTTGGGTTTCATCTCACCTTCATTTCTGTGCCCCTTCCTCGGACCTCAACAGTCTGCTGGCACAGACCATTGATTTCAAAAGGGATGAGCTCATGGTAAGATGCCACCTCTCTGGGGTAGAAAGTGATGGGCACCTCCACTGTCCCTCCTGGGCACAGGACACAGCCTGGGAAGTCCACCTCCAGGTGTGCAGTGCTGGTGAACAAGCAGCTCAGACTGGCAAGAAAGCACAGCACAGAGGTGTCACAAGGTTGTGCATGTGCTCAGAGGACATCAGAGCTCCACAGGACTCTCCTGACTCCTCTCCCCATGCCCTCAGGGGCCATGAGGACACGGAGTAGACACGTGTTAAGCAAGGGCTGAAGGAGTGTGTGGAGAGGGCCTTACCTCACATCCCTGTCTGCCTTGTTGGTGATGACCAGGGTCTGACGGGGAGGTGCCATCCCAGCGTGGTAGATGAAGCAGGCTCCAAAGTTGAGTCTGGTGGTGGAGAAGCAGACAGTGGGCACTACCACAGTGGCCAAGAATGTGCAGGTAAACGTGGGACCCTTGCTGATCTGTTGAGGAGAAATACAGCATGAAGAGATGGGAACTACAGCTGCAAACACCAAAAGGGCTGAGGAGGGTGATGGGGGATGGCTGCCTGAGGTGACCAGAAGGAAAAGCAGGTGCCATAGGACCCCAGAATGGAGACAGAAGGTGGAAGGCTTGGTCTGAGAGGGGAAGGGTTTTTGGAGAGCCACGGCCCTGCTTTGTGCAGCCACGTGAAGAGCAGCACGGCCACATCCTGGACCTTTCTGAGCTGGGGGATCCAACTCAGCAGGGGCCTGGTGAGGAGAAACAGTTCCATCTCCATGCACACCTAGGACCTCCCCAAACGAGAAGCAGGAAGGGCCTGGGGGAAATATCCTGCAAACAAAGGTGCTTCCCAACATAGTCCTGGATAAGCACTGATTAAAACAGTCCATCCAGAAGCTCTGAGGCTCCTTATTTCAGCAGCAGGAGCTTCTCTGCCTCGCTCGGGCTCTTTGTGAAGGTCCCACACTGAGCGCTGGTGCCTCACCTGCAGCCTCAGCTCCACACCCTTTAGAGAGCACACCTTCTGGGGGTGAAAAGCCAGCTGGGTCTCTGCTGTCTCCTCTGCCTGCACGGTGCCCACCCGAGGGCTGACACTAAGGACCTGCCTACGGGCTGCAGGGCCACTGAGCTCCCATGAGAAGGTGAGGCTGAACTTGCTGTGGTTGTGGATGCTGAAGATGCACTGGACGTTCTCGTTGAGCTGTACCTGGGGAGAGAAGGTGGTGAGGACTAGAGGGGGGTGAGCATGCCTGGTGTCAGCTGGCACAGCAAGTGCTCCTGATGTGCTCCTGCATCTCCAACATTCAGCTAATGACCTGTATTAAAGACCAGCCTCCCTTCCCCTAGAGACCCCCTGCCCATAGGCTAGGAAGGGCACGAAGTGGCTGGAAAGTGCCCAACACAAAAGGACCTGGGGGGTGTTGGCCAAGAAGGCCACCAGCATCCTGGCTTGGATCAGCACTAGTGTGGCTAGCAGGACCAGGGCAGGGATTGTCCCCCTGGACTGGGCATGAGGGAGACTGTCCCCCAAATCCTGGGGTCAGTTTTGGGGCCCTCAATCCAAGAAGGACCTTGAGGGCCTTGGGCATGGCCAGAGAAGGGCAACAAAGCTGCTGGGGAAGGGTTTAGAGCCCAAGTGTGGTGAGGAGCAGCTGAGGGACCTGGGGGTGTTGAGCCTGGAGCCAAGGAGGCTCAGGGGAGACCTTCTGGCTCTGCACAGCTCCCTGACAGGAGGCTGGCATCAGGTTGGGGTTGGGCTCCTCTCCCAAGTAAGAAGAGATAGGCCAAGAGGAAATGGCCTCAAGTTGTGCCAGGGGAGGTTGAGGTTGGACACAAGGAAGAATTCCTTCCTCACAACGATTGTCCAGGTCTGTCCCAGGCTGCCCAGGGCAGTGGTGGAGTTCCCATCCCTGGAGGGGTTTCCAAGCTGTGGAGATGTGGTGCTGAGGGACATGGTCAGTGGGGACCTGGCAGTGCTGGGGACATGGTTGGACTCAATGGTCTTAATGGTCTCTTCCAACCAAAATGACTCCATGATCCATAAATGAAGACAAACGTTCCCTCTTGTTCAAGCATATCTGCAAAGCTCCTGGTTAAGGCCCAAGGCTGCAGATCTTCCTGAAGGAAGTGGTCCAGGGAGCTGCTCACCTCCTTGAAATCAATGACATTGGCATCCTTCGTGCTCAGCTCGGTGACATGGCCACTGCTGTCCTGACACCTGACAGACACCTTCATGTTATAGCCAGTGGCCTTGATATTCAAGGAGAGTGGCTGGGTCTTCCTCTCGACATCACATTTGAGGTTGAAGACCATCTCTCCTTCTAGCGTTGCTGTGAAGGACACTGTAATGGGAAACCTGGGGAGAGAAGACCTTTTTTGTTCTGTTCTTGGTCTCTTGGCTCTCTTGGCCCCACACTGCCCACCCCGCAAAGGCTGTGGTGAGACCCTGGACCTGGAAGAAACCAGAAGTAGTACTCTGCCTTTCCAGGACCTTCTGCTGTGGAGCAAGCCCTGGAGAACTGTTGAGGGTAAGATGAGCCCATACAATGACACAGCAGAGGATACAACAAGGCAGCAGACCTTGAGCTGATGCTGACCTGGCTGCCCTGGCTACGTGCTCCAGGACAGCGCTGGGTTGAAATCCCCCATTGTCCCAAAGAGAGAGGAGGGACCATCCAGAGATCCCCAGTCTCTCCAACCTGTATGAGAGGGGTAACGTCCTCTCTGCAAAGGGGAATCATCCAGCTCCCATGCCAGCAGCACAAACTGGACAAGAAGTTCACCATGAGCCAGCAATGGACCCTCGTGGCCAAGAAGGCCAATGGTCTCCTGGGGTGAGTTCTGAAGACTCTGGCCAGCAGGTCAAGGGAGGTTCTCCTGCTCCTCTACTCCGACCTAGTGAGGCCACCTCTGAAGTTCTGGGTCCAGTTCTGGGCTCCCCAATTCCAGAGAGACAAAGAACTGCTGGAGAGAGTCCAGCAGAGGCTGCCAAGATGCTGAGGGGCCTGGACA